AAGCATTTCATTGGACTTTGACTGTACTTCTGTGATACAGTAACTTTTCATGTGTTTCTGGATCATTTCTGTATTCTCAATGGAATATACGCCATCTTTTTATCGAGATGGAGGAATGACTTACATAGTCCACATATAAGCCCTTTATGAGACACAGGATTTGTAAATATTTGCTCCTATAAGTTGTCTTTTCTCTTTCTTACAGTTATCTTTCCAAGCACCAAAGTCTTTAATGATGATGAAATCTATGTTTTCTTCTATTGTTTGAACTTTTGAATATCCTCTGTCCAATTCAAAGTCACGAGCATTTACCGCTGTGTTTACTTCGATGAGTTTTACAGGTTTTGCTCCTGCATTTAGGCCTTGGGTCCATTTTTAGGCATGCTAGGAGGCAGGCATCCAACTGCATTCTGTTGCACTTGGTGATGCACGTATCCCTGCACTGCGTGAACAGACTAGCGTGTTTTTGCACATCTAACACACATGGTTCTACTTTTGCGTGTGTGACTGGCAGAACAAAGTGCAATGTGTGTAATATTTGTACAAAAATATAGTCTTCTTTTGCCCATCAAAGTTCTGGCACCCTTGTAAGAAAGTTCTATCCAGTCAGCTGCAGTTCTGAGAAGCAATAAACTGGGGGATCAATCTGGGGAACACTGCCATGTTAACCAAGTTAAATTTTCTGACTATATTATGAGATGGCTTTGCATTTCTTTAGATCTTTAATGTCCCTCAACAGTGCTGTGTTGTTTTCAGTGTGTATTTACACCTGCTCTGTTAAGTTGGCTTATTGATCTTTATGCTACTGTGGCATTGTTTTCTTAAATGCCTTTTTTTTTCTTTTCAAATTGCTTATTGCAAGAGTTTAGAAAGAAAACAGATTTCTGTATAATGATCTTGGAACTTTGCTGAACTTGGTTTTTACTTCGCTAAACTTGGTTTTGGTTTAGGGGTATTTTTTTTAAGAGTGGCTGAGACAACAGATATTGAACGTGGCTTCACCCTGCGGTCATGTCCAAAGCTAAGTTCACCCTCTCTGAGCCTGGCAAAACTCACTGAAGTGTCTGCTTCGGGCAGCCACCCTGGAGAACACAACCTCTGTCGACTGCTTCCAACACTGACCATTTTCAGAAGGATAACACAATGACCCTTTACTTCCTGTCCTTACTTTTATCAGCATATTTTAATAAACACAGGATCACTGGGAAGCACACACACCGCCCCCCCCAACACACCACATCACAAAACCAAACTGCAAAACAGATCAGTTCAAGGTGATTGCTTTCATTGCCAACATTTTTCTTGTGGGTTTTTTTTTCCTTTTGCAAAACAGATTCATGGCTGCTTTCTGTAATGCATTGGAAATTTGCCTGAATCCAAACTCTTTGTTTACAGATGTTCACACCTGTAAATTTACATGAAGTAATACATCATCTTTATTTATTATTTAAGCTTCTTTCCTCCATGATGCCTTAGAGGATTTTTATGTTAATTTTGCAAACTGGGACAACAAAGCTCATGGCAAAACAGAAATTGAAAACTGAGCATCTATGCCTTGTTTCCTGCAGAAGGAAAGTAACTGGGGTGGCACTTAATGAAATGAAATTTACCAAACATTTACTTAGCACCTACAGTGCATGCCTGGGTGGTGGTGCACACTGTTAATGTGCTTGGGTGTTGAATGGAAGACTGGAGCCTTTGTTTCACCCAGAGAACACTCCTAGAGCCACACTGGCATAGTGTGCAGGCTGCTAGACTGAGAATCCAAAGGTGGTGCCACTCTGGTGGCTGGAACCCTCTCCTGCTCCCTTGGGAGAGAGAGGCACCGTGTCTGCCTATTGGGATTCACGGTGTCAGAAATCCAGTGGAGGGTCGCTATGGATCAGAACCAACTCAATGGCCGAGCACAGAGCTACGACAGAATGAAGGGCTGCTGATGTAGTTCTGTGAAAACACCACGGAACACACTTCCACTTTGACACATGTGTTCAATTCGACGTGATGGCAACTGGTGGTTTAAACTCTAAGCAGACACTGCTGAGGCAGTGTTGTTGCTGGGTACCATGGAGACAGAACTGACCACAGTGGACCCTCCAGTGGGTTTCCAGAGACAGTTAATCACAAGGGAGGAGAATGCCCATCTTTCTCCTGCAGAGCAGCTGGGAGATTCGAACTACAGGCCTGTGGGATTGCAGTGCAGCTTCTTACCGCTAGGCCACCAGAGCTCCCTGCAGTGGCATTAGAGAGATAAAGGATATGGCCACCATCATCAATACGCATGGCTTAGCTGAAAGCAAGCCCCCTAACTAAGGGCTGTACATGTGAGAGAGAGCATCTAAAACTTCAGAACGCAATCAAGTGCCTGTGCTCTTAAACCCATAGGGCTGGAGGTCCTGTAAGTGCACTGTCCTTAATACCCAGTGTGTGTCTCTGTCACGCTGAGTCTTCTCCCACTGCCAGGCCAAGGCCAGCTCAGGCTGCTGTGTGGCCAGTCCTATATCAGATAGAATACTTATGGTTGATTGGAGAGAGCTGGACAAGCTCCTCCTGTGTGATACAGAACCTCTGAAAACCCGCCAGGGGAGCAGCCATGAGGGGGTCCCCAGTCTCAGGGCTGAGGACGGTGAAGACAGACAAATGTTTGAGGCCGAGGCAGGGAACATCACAGAATGCGCAGGCTTTGGGCAGGTTACACAGCAGGTGAGGGCAGGAAGAACTGGTGAATGGAGAAGGTGGAGCCCCAGCTAAAGGGGTAGCTCTCGACCTAGCCAACCAGTGCTGAGGAAACACTTCAATGGAGCCTAATCTTAGCTGCGCAGAGTACAAAGTCTTGACTGTTTACATGAACAGATTTTTTTTTTAATTGGGTGACTTTGTTATTTTTTTAAAATTTTTATTAATTTTTGTCTGTGTGTACCGTCAAATCAGATCTGACTGGTACAGGAGATTGTTACTCTTCTCCACCAGAGCATCTGGTGGATTTGAACTGTGCACCTCTGGGACTGCAGTGCAGCTTCTTGCTATCAGAGCTGGCCTGTTTACATGAATGGATTTCTAAAGGCCAGCAACAGAGCTGTGTGACTTTGTAAGTCACACAAAACACACTGATTTCCAAGTCCAACCTAAAACCAGAACCTGAAACCATTTCAGCCCACAGCACCCTGCAGGGCGGAGCACATGGCCTCCAGGGCAGTGAGCTTTATGGAAGCGATGCCACTTCTCTCCCAAGGTGGGGTAGGTAGGTGCGAACGGCGTACTTTTCAGTTATTTATCAACACTGTGACACAGGCCATTTATTTGGGACTCTACTGCTATTATTTCCTGCAAGCCTTACAACCTCACCTTAGAAAGCGGAATTAAATGCAAATGAAGTAACTGAGGTTTGTTGTGCTGTTTGCCACTGAGTAGGAACTGACCCACAGCTGACCCTCCAGCAGGTTTTCAGAGGCAGTTAATCACACGGGAGGAGGGTGCCCACCCATGGGGCAGCTGGTGGATTCGAACCACGTGCCTTTGGGACCACAGTGCAGATTCTGACCACTAGGCCAACTGACGTTTAGAGGGATCAGATAACTTGATGAAGGTCATCTCACCCAAAGCAGTAACCTAAGAATTCTAACCCAGTGTTATCTTACTTCAAAGTACCTTTTTTGTTGTTGCTGTGTACTGTTCAGTTGGAACCAACTCATAGCTGATCCTCCAGCATCTGTTCAGAAGCAGTAAATTACACAGAAGACGACTGTCCGTCTTTCTCTTATGGAATGGCTGGCAGATTCGAACTATATGCCTTTAGGTTGCCAGTGCAACTCCTTACCACTAAGCCACCAGAGCTCTCCTGATGTCTGTCAAGGACATCTTTGCGTTTCAGTTTGAACTTGTTGGGGTTCTCAATGGAAGGAGAGGCCTTTCTCTGCTGTTGCCGGCCTGCTCATTGTAAACTGCTCTCGAGGCACTTCCTCTTTAAAAATAAAATTACTCCAGCCTGTGTATTTTCAGTGTTGTAAAAATAACCAGTCAGGAAACGAAAACAGATTCACAGAACATTACTATTTCAGGCATTCAGAACATCTTAAATCCGTATCAGATGCCCGGAATCCTCTGACAATTTTATCTCCCAGAACCTCCCAGTTCTGTGCACCTTCTCTTTCTTGCCACAACTCAATTAATTGCTGTTGAGTTGAAAACTACTCATAGCTGACCTCCTGAATGAGTCTTTAGAGGCTGTAAATCGTATGGGAGAAAACAGCCTATTTTTCTTCCCCAGAGCAGATGGGAGATTTGAACTGTTTGCCTTTGAGATGGCAGCACAACTCCTTACCCATTAGGCCACCAGAGCTTTCTAAAGTCATCCTGGATGATTCAATCTATTAGGATGTCAATACTGCCAAAAACAATCCACAGATTTACAGAGTCCCTGTCAAAATTCCACTCAATAGCCTTCTTCGTAGAAACTGAAAAACCAATCATCAGATATATAGAGAACTGCATGGGGCCCTAAGCCAAAGAAACGGTGAAAAAGAACAAAGGAGAACTCACATTTACCAATTTCAAAACTTACTACAAAGTAGGGAGCTCTGGTGGCCTCGTGGTAAGAAACTGTGCTGTCAATCCAAAGGCACATGGCCTGAACTGACCAGCTGCTCTGTGATAGAAAGATGAGTAACTGACTACTGTGGGATTTCCTGCCTCTGAAAACCCACTGCCGGGTCAGCTACGGGTTGGCTCTGACTCGAAGGCACACAGCAACAGCAGCAGCAGCAGCAGCAGCAGCACCAACACAGGCATTCCTAAATGGGGATACTTGCTGGAGGTTAGAACTACTTTCATTCAGCAAACACTTCCTGAGCACTTCCTACACAGAAGGTCTTAAGTTCAATGGACATGTGGAATCACCCTCACTCAAGGCAGAGTGTGCAGAGAGAAAGGCTGAAAGCTTAGAAGAGAAAATGTACAATCAATCTGTACAATCAATCCGTCATAAGCAGAGACTGTGCCATTACCTTTCTTTGTCTTACAGGGTCCACGTTCGGGGTGAATTTCTTGTAAAGGACGAGACACCACCTTAGCCAGTCCAGCACTCAGCATGTACTGGTACAAACGCTTGAAGGTCCGTTCACACAGCCCCTGCCGAAGGAAAGTGTAAAAGCTACTGTTAGGAACAAGTAAGGTATTTACAACTACCAGGGTCACATAAGCAAGCATAAGCATGGGACATGACAAAGTACTGTTCTACTTAAAAAACAAAACAAAACAAACAAACAAAAAAAACAAAGAAAAAGCTCCAAACAGTTCTAGAAACAACTCAATGCTTCTGAGGCAGCTGATCCCCTACTGAGTTTTCAGAAGCTGTAAATGCACAAGGGAAGGCTGCCAATCATTCTTCCACAGAGCGGTTGATGGATTCAAATTGTGTGCCTCTGTGTTGGCATCGCAGTGCCTTAACCACTAGGCCAACAGGGCTCAAACAATTTTATAAAATAAATTCAGTCCAAAACGATTTTTGAGTAATTTGAAAAATAAAGTTCACCTCCCCCACCTTAACTCACCAAGGCTCTTCGAGAGCATTAACTAAGTTTATTTCATGCATCATAAGATTTGTGTTTTCAATTTATAATTTACCACATCATAATGTGAACCTTTATGATTATGTCCAAAATGAACACATTTTATTTGTTCTTACTACCACTAACGTTCTTAAAATGTAAAAAACTGATTACTTCTTTAATAATGAAAAAAAAATTTCTTTTTGTTTAATAATATAGTCTACTACCATCTTACAAAACTCTATCAATAAATCTGTTCATCTTTGAATTCATTTACCAAAGTAGGGGGGGAAAAGGTTTAATTCAATAATGAAATTGCAAATTATTCACTGTAATACTGTTTGTAATAGTAAATGATCAGAAATAATCCAAATATTTATTAAAATGGGACTGGTTAAATAAATGACATCATGAGCAAAAATCCAGCCATAAATAAAAAGGGGCAAAGAGTGCAATGTAAATGCATGAAGAGCAATGTAAACTCTTGAGGGAACAAAGTGAGCAGAGCAGGAAGGTTCTACCTTGTGTTCAGGAGGGGGAAGAACGTTCAGTTAAAGTGGTCCTGAAAGGCTACTCAGCGTGAGAATGGAGACAACTGGGGTAGAGCGAAGAGACTTTTCAATGGACACCTTTTCATGTTGCTTTGATTTTTTTTAATCAAGTAACTCTATTTGTCGCACTGTTGCAGAGTTGAAAACAATCCACAGCTGCCCTTCAGTGCATGTCTGAGGCTGGAAAGCAACTGCCCAGCTTTCTCCCACGGAGCTGCTGGGGGATTCAAACTGCTAGATGGGTGGCCTTCGGGTTAGCGACACAATTCCCTACGGTGTCAGCCACAAGCAGAGCGCCTTATGAACACCCCCCGCCCCCGTCCTCTCTCACGTGACAGTGCAAAACACAGAGAAAAAACTCACTTTAAGACAACGTTTATAGATTCACAAAGAATGCGTCTGTGAGGCCAAAACAATGATTTCTATTTATCCTATCACTTATACACTCTATGGTTTAAAATTAGCAATACTGTGCATCACGGTTGTCCCCTTATGCTGTGTTTACTTAATCTACATAGTGAACAAACTCCCTGAGACACTTGACTATTTGAAGACTGCGGCATCAGATTGGGGGAAGTTTCATTAAAACCCATGGTAAGTAGATGATATAGTCTTGTTTGCTGAAAGCAAAGACTTGAAGGACTTATTAATGGAAAACCAAAAAATATAGCTTTCAGTATAGATTATGCCTTAATGTCAAGAAAACAAAAATCCTCACAAATGGACCAATAAACAACATCATGATAAATGGCAAGAAGACTGATGTCAAGAAATTCATTTTACTTGGATCCACAACCAACATGCATGGAAGAAGCAGTCAAGAAATCCAATGTTGCATCGCATTGGCAAGTGTGCAGCAAAGACCACTTTAAAATGCAAGAGAGCAAAAATGTCACCTTGAGGACTCAGGTGTGCCTGACCTAAGTCATGGTATCTTCAACTGCCGCACGTGAGGGTGGGGCAACTTGGGTGGTACAGTCCCTATAGAGATGCGCTGCAAACCCAGAGGCAGGCAGTGCAGTCTCCAATCATCTGATGGCACGTGAGGCTCTGCGGGAAAAAGATGGGCAATCTCTTCCCCCTGCAATTTACAGCCTCTGAAGACTGTTGGTGACTGCCGAGTCAGAACCAACTCAACAACAATGGGCCACTGCCGTGTGTGCGTGTGAAAACTCGATCATGAATAAGGAAAACTGAAGAAGTAATGACTGAATTGTGATGCTGGCAAGGGATACTGAAGACACCAAGACATCAGTCTTAGAAGCAGGGCAGTCAGAACGCTCCCTGGAGGTGAAGGCGGAGAGACTTGGTCTCACACGCTTTGGGAATGTTATCTGGAGTGGTCAGTCCCTGGAGAGGGACGTCATCATGCTTGGTAAAGCGGAGGCTCAGTTAACAAAGAAAGGAAGGTCCTCAACAAGGTCTACAGGGCGTGGTCAGACACAGCAGCACCTGCGAGGACAGGGCACGGTTTCGATCTAGTCCCCACAGGGTCACTGACTCAACACCACCTACCAAAGAGTGGACCATCTACAGCCAAGACCCCTGCTGCAGGATGCTCTAGCAGGGATAGTCTCTAGCATGGACCATCTTTCTCCAAAGTCACCTCCTTTCCAATACTGAAAAGTGAAAGAGCATACGTATGCATACATGTGCCTGCAAACACACAAAGCTGACCACGGCTTCTCTTGAAAAATCCAAGCTCTGGCAACGAATCCTGGGGCTGCAGTTCTGCAGAGCAGTTGGCTGGCCCTGAACCTAGCTGCCTCCCATCTGACAGGGCATGCCCGACTCCTGGAGCCAATTCCTGACCAACCCCTTTCACACGGAAGCAGAATGTTGGTTGTCATCTATCAACATTCGGGCGCTGCTTTTCTGTTATAGTGTTTAAGAGGACAAGGAAATCGTTCCTGACTCCACAGTGCCATTGAGGTTGGTGTTGACCCTCGGCCCCCTTCACTCAATGATTCCACCCTCCTGGCCACTGCTGGTATTTGCATCTTAGTCCTTGGAATCGTAAGGTGGGCGACCATATGGCAAGCATGAGAGGCACAGGAGGTTCTCACAACTACGACCTGTGAGCTGAGCCTTACAGGTTTCCTCTTGCAGCCTGAGGGAGAGGCAGCAAATGCCTGTGGGCTCCTGACACCACACGCGTATACCCAACCCCTAGATTGGCCAGCACTCCAGCTGCCGGGCCACAGAACATACGGCCATTAAAGCGATGCAGACAACTCACATATGGCCCGTTTAAACCACTGGCTTCTAAGTGGCATCCACTGTTAATCTAGCGGTGCCCCCAGTGTTACGGAAAGACCTTCTGGAAATGCATCCATCAAACCCCATCTCAAAGCATATGGTACTAAGCCCTGGACCATCCTAAGTGATGGAGGATGATGAGCCTTTTAGGCAGGTGTCATCGAGGATCCACAATCTGCCAGCAAAAAAAAAAAAAAAAGGAATATACTCCCTATGCAAAAAAAAAAAAAAGAGAGAGAAAGACAGCATTTATATTCATGGTATCAACCTCATTCACAGGCCAGCTGTTCTCTAAGCTCTGCCCATGGTCTCCTCCACTAACCAACCTTCTTCTCGTAACTCACTCACTCACTCACGGTGAACCTGTGTGTGTCAGACGCAGGAGGGAAGAGAACGGTGCTCCGCCGGGTGTGCAATGGCCGAGGCTTCAGAAGCACAGGGCCAGGTCTTTCCGCCAAATGCCTCTGAGCGGCATGGAACCTCCCACCTTTTGGCTGGCAGCTGGGCACGTGAACGCTTGCACCACAGAGGAACCGTGACCCTGCCACCAGCTGTGTCTAAGGGCTAACGTCCTACTCACGACCTTTCGTATCATATCTGGCCCCCGTTTTCCTTTTTAGACATACCTCCTGCCCTAAGCACACTTCACCTTGGCCACATGCAGGATTTACTTCTATCTCCAAAGATATCCCAGGGTCTCTCATGCTCAAGCTGGTCTCCCCTGCCTGAAATGCCACTTCTCCTCTGTCTGCGTGCGAACACTCGTCTTCCTTGCCTCGTGTGACATCGGTGTTCTCTACGAAGCTCTGAGCTCAGGCACGCTTTCCAGGGTGCCACTGGTTTAAGAGCGTGCTCACACGTGCCCTCCAAAAGGCTGGTCCACAACAGCAACTCCACTAATTTCTGTGCTCTTAGTGCAATGTTCTTACAAACTAAGTGCTGACTGGAAGAAACGCCCAATGACAATCAAATCTTGTCCCTTATCTGGCGCACAGAGCTGGCCCAAGACCAGATGACACCATCATAATTCTGAGGGTTTCCCTCTCCCGCATCTGTATTTACAGCTTTCTTTTTTTTTTAGAGGTCTACTTTTTCTTTTCCACTTTAGATATTCAGTACCTCTTTCCTGTCACACACACAGCGGTGCACATGCTCTGACAAAGGACAACTGACATGACTTGGTGTCTCGGAGAGGTGACAAGAGGCGGGAAGCTGGCCAGTGTACAACCATTAAGTAGACAGGCTGCAGGCTCGCGCTTATCAGAGCATGACCGTTCCAAGCCAAGCAAGAAGCCTCGATTCTGATATGATCTCTTGCTTTCTGAAAACGCTGGGTCAAACTTATTTGAAACAACATACAGGACAAGTCTGACCCACAGTCTGACTTTTGGTTTGTTATCTCTGCTTTAAGGAGACATGGCAAGTCTCTAAAATTGGAGACAAGACCTGCTTTTCCCATGGAAAAGGGAAATCATTAACTTTAGCCTTACCCGTGCACAATAAGGGCAGACAGAAGGATTACCTGGTGTCTATAATCAGATTATAAACCATGTTCCCTTAGGGATCAACTGTTACTAAAGAACAGACCTGATTCCCCGTTAATCTCTTCTAAAATGTGGTTTTACAGTTCACTGTTCAAACTACAGGGCAATCTTATTCATTCTCCCATTTCCAGAGCTGGTTCTTGCTCCTAAAGTCCACGGACTGTATGCATGCTACCATTCCTGCTGCCTCTATTCCTGGGCCCTGGACGAAGTGGGGCAAAACTGTGCTGCTTATTCCGCTTGTGTTTCTCCAAACAGTCACTTTGCTATTTTAGCATAAAACCACAGGGTTCAAGCTGCAAACTTGATTACAAAAGTAAATCTAAATGGCAAGATCCACATTTCTGTACGATCTGTTTTAGTGCATCTCAGGGAAAAGAGAAGTGAATGAAGAGAAAAGGCATTTATGTTAAGAACCGGGCACTTTTTTCATCCTGTGAGGAAAACTTCACATGCCAGTCTCAAAAGCTTCGAAGTATAATGCATCTACATTTCACAGACTCCACACAGCGGCACACCACGACAGACCACCATCAGCCCCCAAGCTCACCAGTTCCTCCCTCAGCTTTCCCAGCGTCTCTATCTGGTTACTCCGCGTACTCAGCACATCCGAGAGCTTCTCCATGAGGATGTCGTATTTACTCCGCCTGCGAGAAACAAGAAGCAGTTCATTTGACCAAACCTATTCCTAAAGACCATCTGCTTTATAAAAATAACAAGACTTGGAGCTCTGGTGGCCTAGTGGTAAGGAGCTGCAACTACAATCCCAGAGGCGCACGGTTCGAATCCACCAGATGCTCTGCTGGGGAAGGAGGGACAATCTCCTCCTGTACCAGTCAGATCTGATTTGACGGTACACTCACACAAAAATAATAAAATAAATTTTAAAAACAAACAAACAAACCAGGACTTAAAAAAATAACACAGCCAACAACAAAACCTTCATCTTAAGTCTCAGAGATCAGGCAGTCATATGGCGAGACTGAGGTCCTAGGCAGAACTCAGTCGGCTGGCGAGACTGAGGTCATGGGCAGTTCAATTACACATCCAGGTCACCAACTACTGAATGACAGTGTTACAGACCAGACTCTATGGTTAAAACGTCACTGAACTGTTAGTCTTCAAAACTCAGTACGTTTTCACAATATTTTCGTTTAGGCAGTATCTCATATATTGTTTTGAAAAGTATTTGTTGAGCAAGAACAGGCACCAACTCATAAAGGAGGAAAGTGGTTTTCCAGAGCTCAGGCCCATAACTGGTAAACTCGGTCTTCTCTGAACCCATTGCCTTCTTCACTCCAGGCTGCCTGAGTCTGAAGCCTTGGCTCAGAGCTGACTTCACAGGTATGATCAATCCCACCTTCCACGCAATGTTAATTCTGTAAGGGGGAAGTCCTACCAGATGCTCTAAGCATCATCAACAGTCATCAAAGAAGCTATGGAGAGAGCTAAGAGCTCCCAAGTATGTGTAGCTGAAGGAGGAAAGTCCAGGGGAGTCTTGCCTGTCAGTTCAGTTGGGGAAGATTCCTTGGTCTTAACTATTCACAGGCCTCAGCACCTGCATCCACTTCCATTTTTATTGTAGCTCAACAAATTAAAGTGAAGGAACTTACCGAGTATGAACTAGGGCCAATCACTAGGCAACAGTCATTTCATAAAAAAAGAAATGATAGTTCAAAGAGGCCGAGTAACTTTTCCCAGTTAAATGGCTAAGAATTAAACACACATAACCCGTGTTCTCGCTACTACTCATGGTTGCCATCTTATGACTGAGGTGGACTGTGGACGACATAATCAGTTATGAGATCAGTGATGGATTACGGACTACGTAAGCAGTTATGAGATCGGTGATACAGGCATTAGCTAAGAGTAGACTAGACAATGAAAATGTGTAGTCATAAAGCATGGATCTCTCCAGCATCATATTATTCTCCAAATCGAGGGGTGAAGTTAAATTAGAAGTTGAGGCTATTTTGACAAGAAATCAGTGATAATTCCCACTCCTGGAAATCAATCTAAAAAAGCTTTCTCTGAATATACCTGTTCCTCTGTCTTGTGCCCAACAGAGAAAAGTGGAGACAAGAGAGGGCCTGCTCACTCCCTCCCAGAAACACCCTCCGCTCAGAAGGAATGTGTGTATTTCCCCAGCTTGCTCTATTCTCTGTACTAGGAAACAGTGCTGGACTGTATCACCATGATTAACAGTCATTTTAATAGACCATTAACATCTCACCTACATGGTTTGATTAGTACAGCTGCAAGCTGCCAAAACATCTCAACTTGAAATCATCAGCCCAGAAATGGAAATAATTCAAGCACACTCTGTCACCAAAAACCCAAACGAAACAAACCAAAAAACTCAGCATCTTCATTTATAATTTCTACTGGCAAAATAAATTCAACAAGGTAGTGAGGTTATAGGTAATGTTTTCCCTCTCTTTTTGGGTATAATTTTTCTTTTTAAAAAATTTTATTTTATTATTTTTTGTATGTACCGTCAAATTGAATCTGACTGGTACAGGAGGAGATCACCCCTCCTTCTCCAGCAGAGCGTCTGGTAGATTCGAACCACATACCTCTGGGATTGCAGTGCAGCTTCTTGCCACTAGGCCACCAGAGCTCCCTTTGGGTATAATTTCTAAATAAGCAGAACGTAGCTCCATAAATAGAAACACACACAAGTATCCTTCCCAAGAAGTGGCAGTCACATTTTGGTTGGGGTTCTGGGGATTTCTGAAGGTGGAGCGCACACGGCTATGGTACACACACACAAGCGGTCGGACCCTCTGTGCTATGCACACCGTACCTGTCCACGTGGAATCGGTTCAGGAGGAGGAGGATGGAGTGCTGCTGGGCGCCAGTGGGCAGGCGGATCACATGGGACTGCATGGTGATGAGCCCGTTTTTGTTCAGGATTTTTCTGTGATAGTGAAGCTTCCCAGCGTCCACCCTGAAGGGGGGGGGAGAGAGAGAGGAGGGCTTACTCATTTGGCTTTGTGGGCAGATTTTACCCCACAATGTATGGAGTCTCTCATTTGCTCACAAGCATCACAGGGATACATTTCTTATCTAGCTACTAAAAGGAGACCACTGTGGAACCAGGGTCAAGGGGAGAAAAGCCATGTGCCAGCCACAGAGTATGGCCAGGATTTCTCCAGAGGCAGACAGATGGATGATGGGAGTTAAAGAAGCAATGGGAAACAAAGGAAGCAAGGATTGCTGGGGTGGGAGACGGAAAGGGCTTAATTAGGAGCCGAGAGAAGTGGACTCTGTAATCCTGTAGTAGCCACACAGGCTGCTTTGGGGACAGTCACAGTTTACAGTGACAGCTTTGGCATCCCCTCTGGTCGGCACCACCTTTCACTCTAAGCTGTTTCGGTTTGTACAGTAAATCAAATGGAAAAGCTCCTCTGAAAGAAAACCCAGCTTTCCCAATCACTACAGATTACAGGGCTGAATGGGTCGCAGGGATGACAGGAACGTGGAGGACAGGTGTGAGGCCCCTGTGTTCAGATGCCACTGGAATGCAAAGCCGAGCACAAAGTCCCTGTCCCTTACTTGAAAGCAGTGCTGTGAAGGTCACGCTGGAGCTCGCCTTCCCACCTGGACCTGCCCAATCGCTCCAAAATGCAGTAAGAGAAGTCGGGGAGCTTCAGGTCTGGATCCCCCTCTGCGCCGATCAAGGCCCTGTACCGCATGTCCTGCGAGGCAACGATGATCAGTTTCTTCCCCCATCTGCAAATCAGAAATGTGCCAAAAAAGAAAATGAAACCAGTTTTGAGAAAATGTAAATCTATTTTCAGCAGAACCTTATAGGAGAATGTAGCTGTTTCTTATAATACCCACCAATTAAGCAAGTTTTCAGGGCCTTAAAACAGTGCCGACTGAACAGAGTAACAGAGTCAACCTCATTATTTCTCCCAGGGTGCTTTTGCTTAAATAATTACTTTGCTTGAATGAAAGTCTACAAATCATCTTAGTTTTTCATTCTGGCATTCATAGACATTTTGTTTCTTAACATTAATTACACTTAATTAATGCAAGTCATTTATTCTAATGTCTAATCAAAGCCTTATTGTTTCCTAAGGTTCTAGGAAAGTGGGTGGCATTGGGATGGCAGTGGTGTTAGCTAGCTTACTGCATGCTCCTGTCTATCCCAGAAACACCAGAAAGAAGCTGATCCTGGCTGAACCAGCTTTGGTAGAATGGGAATACAGTTAAAGGTGTCCCAAGATTTATAGCAACTAGTGAAACTCAAGCAAGAGAAAGGAAATTTGAGGTGGTAGAAAAATTTCTTTCATTTTCAATGTGTCCATGACATATCCATGGCATGCATTCTCATCCCAGCAGTAATTTTAAAGTGGCAACAGCCCACATTTCTAGGTTCCTGACTCTGGAGCAAGCAAAAAGCAGAACTTTATTCACAAATTGGGGGGGGTGTGTGTCTGGGCTTCCAGAAAGGTTGACACAGGGACCTATCCTGAACAAGAATAACAGTGAATTTCTCCTAAGAAACCACAGAGGCCAGAAGGCGGTAAGAAAACCCATTAAATAATTTGAAAGAAAAAAATCCTCAACAAGAATTCTATGACTTTAAACCAACAAAGAAAACTCTGAAAAGGCAAATAAAAAAACAATACCACTTGTGACAGCTATAAGAAAGATAAAAGACTTAGGAATAAGCCAAATCAGAGACACAAAAGACATACCAGCATGATAAAACTCTACTGCAAAGAAGAAATCTACCAACATACCATCACGTCAAGCTGTCAGATGTGAAGAGTTAACACTGTAAAAGTGTCAATGCCACCCAAAGCAATTTATAGATATAATCTGATCTAGACTCTATCACTGCTTGATCTAGACTCTTTAAGAGAGATTAGCAAAGCACAACTGAAGAAGAAACTTCATGAGGACTCATCCTCATTGATCTCAAGACCTATCGCAAGACTATCCAACCACAGGAGTCAGAACAACTTGGCCCCGGGGCAAAGACACACAGTTATCAGTGAAAAAGAATCACAAACCCAGAAGCAATTCAATCCACTAATGGACTGCTAATTTATGACAAAAGGACCACAAACTATTAAATGGGGAAAGGCGGTTCTAAGAAATGGTGCTGGCAAAGCGGAGAGAACTCATTTGCAGAAAAGTAAAAGATTAACACCTCATGTCACATACAGAAATTAACTCAAGACCACTGTTATAAAACAGAACTGACATAGGGGTTGCGGGGTAACTAAGAAAAGAGGGGATAAACAAAGAACACTGCAATGGAACAGATCAAAGGAAAAACTGTTTAAGAGGAATCTAGGATTGGGCATTATTTGCATGACAACAGTCCAAAATAAGAGGTGCATAGCAGAGTAGGCTGGGGGAGGGGCTGGGGGAAGGTAGGAAATTATGCAACCATGAACGAATTTTTTTAAGGTGAACTAGGGCGTGCATAGGGAGGAAACTGCAACCATGAATGAATGAAAATCCAACTTTTCTGTAAATTTAAGTTAAAATCACAATTAAAAAATAAGAAAAAAGATCTAAATACAAGATCTAAACATATAATGATCATCAAAGGAAAAAATAATAAACTTGGAGACCCTAATTTATGGCATAAATAGACTACCAAACATAACCAAAATATGCACAAACAACAGAAGATAAACTAGATGAATTTAAAAATAAAATTCTTAGATGACAAAAGACTTTTCCCAAAGAATGAAAACTGACCGCTTGGGAAAAATACTTTGCAACAACACATGGGGCTAGCTGCCCCATCAAGGGGCTAACCTCTAACATGTATTAAAAGCATCAACACCAAAACAACAAAAAAGACAATCAATCCAATTAAGAAATGGCCAGAAAACACAAGAAGGTATTTCAAAGAAGACATTCAGATGGCAAATAAACACATGGAGAAGCGCTCTTGATCGTCAGCCAGTGAGGCAGCTTCCTGCTGTCGAGCTGGTACTGACTCAGTCACAAGAGACGAGGGTCGTCTTTCAAGATGAGTAACTTTCTCCCTCAGAGCAGCTGCTGGATTCAAGGCCTTTGCCTTCAAGTTGGCAGCACAACTCTTTACACATTAGGCCACCAGAGCGCCCTACCGCTGCTGGGCTAGGTGCTGTCAAGGTATGACTCACAGAGGCCGTATGAACAGCGGATCCTAACCCTGTGCCATCCGTACTATCCCGACACAGTTCAGCCCATTCCCACGGGTCACTCTATCAATTCTGTTAAGGATCTTCCTCTCTTTCACTTAGGAAGCAGGACTGGCCATGTACTTTTGAAGTAACAGGCCTCTGAAAACCCTATGAACAAACAGAGCTCTCTATTAGACATTGTTGTTATTAGGTGCCATGGAGGCAAGTACGACTCACAGTGACCCTATGAACAAAAGATCTGAACCCTGTGCTATCCTGTGCCATCCTCACACTTCCTCAGCAGTCACTGCATCAACCCGCCTGGTTGAGGGTCTTCCTCTCCTTTGCCAACTCTACCCCCTTCCCAACATCATGTCCTTCTCCAAGGAATAGCCCCTCTTAGCAACATGCCTGAAGTATGTGAGGTGAAGCCTTAGAATTCTGGCTGCACCTTCTTATTAGTGATTTGACATTAGAAAGATGAAAATCAAAACAACAATGAGGTATCACTTTACCCCAGCAATACAGCAATATTCAATAAGACAGAAAATAAGAAATGCTGCCAAGAGTATGGCGAATGGTATCACTAGGTGCATGTCTCTATGTGCTACAAATAGATCCAATTATATAGGAGAGGGACCAGGCAGCAAAGGTACATAAATTTCTCAAGCGCAGTCAAATATCCTAAGGGAATGAGTTGAGCTGGTGATGAGGTCTCAGAAACAGAGTCTTGGGAGGGAGGAGATCAAGGTCAACTGGCATAACAACCCCAAAGTCAATGTTCTACATTCAGAAGAGTATTGATGGGGTCTTAAAAGCTTGTAGTCAGCGATCTGGGGTGCCAACTACTGGCCTCCCCCGTCTAAAGGAAAGGAGAGTGAAGAAAATCAAAGACGCAGAGACAATTCGCTGATAATACTAATGGACTGTGAGGTGTCAACCGCCACAACCCAGAGACCAAAAGAACTCTATGATATCAAGCTATCATGACTACTAATCCCCAAAGGACCACAACAGGGGTCTCTGGCTAGAATGGCAGATAAATGTGCAATCAAATTGGAAAGCCTAAAAATGCCCAGGTCGCTGGTCTGACAGATTGATGGAACTCCCAGACTAATGCCCTTAACTACTCTTTGATTCTGGAAATGAACTTTGATATGATATTCACTGTGATACAATACTCAACCAAATAATAGACAGGCCTCTGAAGTGAACAGTAACTCGAGAGAGGCCCTCCGTCCTGAGAACAATCTACCACAGAACAATAAAAAGGCAGCCCTTGCCTAGTGTGAGAGCTCCGGCAGGAAGGGGAAGGATGAATGGAGATAAAAAACGCTGCCCAGGAAGGAAGTGGGGAGCCTACAGTGACAACGTGGGGATTATAATCAACATCACAAAATCAATGTGTACAAGACAGCTGACTGGAATACCAATCTGCTTCATAAACTTTCACTCAAGCCGCAATACAAAGTTAAAAAAAAGAGAAATCTATATTTAGAAAACCTGTCTCTCAAATGAGGGTGAAATAAAGCATTCCCGGATAAACAAGAACTAAAGGAGTTCTTTACCACTTATCTGCCTTAGCAAGAAATGCCAAAGGGAATCCTCCAAATTGAAATGGAAGAACACTAGAGAGTAACTTGAAGCTGTAGACTTCAACATATGCAGTAAACATAATTTCATGGTTAATAAAACAACCAGTTTTATGTTAACGTTGGTTTATAACTCTACTTGTTATGTCTGACATGATAGACAAATGCGTAAAAACAGTAACAAATCTGTGTTACTGGGCACAACAGGGTACAAAGATGCAATTCGTGACAGTAACATAAGCCAGGGGGAACTGGAGCTCTATGTAGGAGGAAAGCACTTGTATGGTACTGAAGCTGAGCTAGTATTGGACTACAGGAAAATTAAGAAGTAATTCCCGTAGGTACCACAAAAGAAAACATCTAAAAAGAGAGACACGAAAGGAAATGAGAGTGGAACTGTAACTGTCCATTAAAAAAAGTTAATACCTAAGAAGAGAAGAGCAGAGGAACAGAAAAAAAAATAAAATGGTTTCAGACACACAGAAAACAAATGGCAAAAGAAATCTTTCCTTTTTGATAATTACCTTAAATTTAATGGATGAGGAAAGAATGCCACAGATAAATACTTAAAATTCTATCATTTTTGGTACCAAAGAGTAAAGATGGTGGCCAAACAACAGGGAAGGGAGCACTGGGGGCCTGGTGCTAAGAACCCGTGCTGTGATCTCAAAGGCATCCACCAGTGGTGCTACGGGAGAAAGACGGGCAGTCGTCTCCCATGTGATTAACTGCCTCTGAGAAAAACCCGCTGGAGGGGCAGCTGTGGGTCAGCTCCGCCTCGACGGCACACAACTTCAGCAACTAGTACCAGGGAGGGGAGCATTAACTGAGGAGATGAGTTAAATCAGGAGGAGTACAACACTACCAGAAAGAGTAGGCTCTGTCAACAGCCCTGAGACATCAAGGACCCCAACACGTCAGTCTGAAGAATTACCAAGAGGAGGGAAGGCTGTGACGGCCGAGGGCAGGTAGATGGTGGGCAGAGAGAGGTCCCCTCCCTCCACCAGGCTAGGAGAGCAGGTGGCACACGTGAACAGAGGTGCAGGGCATGGCAGAACCAGAGAGTTCAGGTTCATCTACAAAGCACTGCTGCTCAGCTCTGGTTTACACTGTCATGTAAAAAAAAAAATCTGGTTCCTGTGTCGTGAGTCTTGAGATATGTCAAGAGAATCTCGATAGAAAGGTTTGTAAATATGGACAACGGAATAAAATTACAAAAAAATTGGTCAGCGCATGTTTGTGGGGTTGATCTGCTCAGTTTGAAACCTCTGCCCTGGGACTCGTAACAGTTCCTTGTCCAAATATACACAAAATAGAAAGTCAGGGATTATCAGATTCATTCAAAGCCAAGGGAAGACTGGGAATAATTTATATGGTGGACTGACCAAGACTGGACAGCCAACTGGATGTAGAAATCAGAGAATGCAAGGGGCGAGGAGAAGTCCCAGGTTAAGGGTTTGTATAGCTCAGTGCACGGGGATGCCTGAACAAAAGGAACAAAAGCAGAGAAGGAATGTTGGGAGTGAAAGAGTGTGAGGGTCTCACTCTGGTGTACGGTGAATTTTAGGGGCTGTGTATTGAAACATTATCTATTGCACGCAGGAGAAAAGGGAAAAAGTTTCGAGAATAGCTATCAATTTGGGAACACTCACATAAAAGCTGTGCGTACAGATGAAATCGGTGTGGCCTCTCTGCGTGTTGGTGTGTGTGAGAAAAAGAGAAAGACAGAGGGAGACAAAGAGCTTACCTGAGAGAGACCAGAGGAGAGAGGAGAGAGGGCGAGAGAGAGGCGACAGGGAAGAGAGCCTTGGGAGTAGCCAGTAATTAAGAGGTGGATGGAAGCTGGGGCCCCACAAAAGGGTCACTGAGGAATCTAGAAATGCAAAACCAAGTTCTTAATGTTGTAGATGGGACAGGGAGAAAAGGGCCTTAAAAGGGCCTAACAAAGTCCACATGCTTGTTGATGGGATCTCAGATAACACAGTTTTGAAGAAATGAAGTCCGGAATTAGGATAGCACTGGGCTGAGGAGTGAGGGGAAGGGGAAGAGACAGAAATGGAACACAGCCATTCCCTGCAAGAAGGATGGTGGCATAGCTAGGGTTACGGAGGACCCAAGGTTGGAGGACATGAGGTCTGGAGACAGTCTTGTTAGGGAGTTGAGTCCTGTTAGTGTGCTGAGAAGAAAGCACCAGTAAACAGGCAAAACCAGAAAAATCAAGGGAAAAGATGAGGAAAAGAGGCAGAGGGACCAAAGTCAGAGAAAATGGAAGTGGAGCTGGGGAGGAAAGAAGCATCCAGATCATAGCCTTCTTCAACACAGCCTTCGTTTCTTTCTCTCCTGTGAGACGGAGGAGAGAGTGGAAAAGGTGTGGAAATGTGGGAAAGCCAGCCAGATGAGGAAAACAGTAAAGTCCCAGGTGGTCAGCTGACAGCGTCTTTCTACACAAGCTGCAATTGGCTGCTAGTCCTAAAAGGCTCGGTGGGAGAAAGGCCGCATGGATGCTTCTACAGTGATTACAACCAAGAAAAGGGTGTGGAGCAGTTCGACTATAATGCACGGCACTAGGATGAGTTACAATTATCTTGACAAGAACTAGCAACAACAGTAGGTCCTCTCTGGTCTGTAAAACAGGGAAAAAGGAAGGTTGAGGGCTGAGGGTGAGGGAGACAGCTTGAGAAACAGGAGTTTGTCAACTGCAAGGATTTCCCACAGTAAGGTTTTCTAAACAGGAGTGGGAGTGAGGAATGTAGGCAGAGAACGGCTCAGTCCAAGGCTGAGGCCCTCTGGCCAACACCGAGCTACGGGTCAGAGCCTCCTGCCCTAATCACAACCTGACTTCAAAGCAATAAAATCTTGAGCCTAAATGGTTAGGCCGGGCCGTCACTTCATCCGTTACCTGCTAAAGGCTTCCACCATCGTGCAATGAGGTTGCAAAGACTTGGTCCTGATTTCATTGGTGATGTTCTTCCTTTCCTTAAAATAACGGCAGGAGCCCTGGATGCCATCTTTATTCTCCAAAATCATATGTATAGGGTAGACATCCTCCAGAGGCTCCGGGTCCCTCTTGGACTCCAGGATTCCGGTTTCAAAATCAATTTCTTCATACCTATAGGGGAAAGCAAACAGAAAACCACAGCTCTGCTTCAGGAACTAGGCCCGAATGGCCTGTGCTTCTGACAGCCTCCGAGTAGAGAAAGAGGAAGTCAATAATCATTGTTTTCCTGCTTTGCCAAAGTAAATAAGCTTGAGTAAAGTTCTTCTACTCTATCCCAGATAACACAGACTTTTCTTGGATCCCACAAACCTACCTCTGAAGCGGGAGACTTTTCTTGGATCCCACAAACCTACCTCTGAAGCGGGACACTGCGACCAGACCAACTCCCGTTCCAAGCCATGGATCTTCTGGTTTCCCTAATACAGATTAATTATGTGTCTGAAAAATGTGCACTGTAAGACCTCATTCCTAGACTTGTGGCTACAATCCCATTTGGGAATAGGTTTTTGTTGTTATATTAACTCTCAATTCACTGCAGTTGAGTGGAAACTAACTCACATCTGACCCACCATTGGGTTTCCAGGGCCGCAAAGCTCATGGGAAATAACCTAACTTTCTCCTGTGGAGGGACTGGTGGACTCAAAGCCCCAGAGAGGCCTGGCCTTTGGTTTACTTGTGCAACTCCCCATGTGGTTCGCCACCTGAGCTTGTGTGTATTTTAAATCAATCTCTATTGAAATATGAAAAGGGCAGATTGAGCAAGCAAAAGTCAGCAAACAGAGATGGGAGAACAGAGATTCTATGTCATATGAGCCAAGGAAACTAGGAAATTGGTGAAGAAGAGAGACAAGGCCCTTCTCCCAGATGGAAGAGAGTTTTCCAATATGATCAGTAGCCTGAACGCACACTCCTATACTCAACTCTGAGGAAATAAGCTTGGCCCTGAAGCCACTTGTTTGTAGTACTTCTGCTACTATATCACTAGATAGATTACAGTACCTAAAAGCGAAAGGCTGCTCTAACATCTAAAATGTAGAAGTGGTAGGGAGCTCTGGTGGCCTGGTGGCAGGAAGCTGCACTGCAATCCCGAAGGTGTGTAGTTCTAATCCACCAGATGCTACGTTGGAGAAGGAGAGGCAATCTCCTCCTGTGCCAGTCGGATCTGACTTGATGGTACACAACAAGAAAAAAAACAAACAAACCACGTCAAAGTGGTTTTAGAATTGTGCAGTAGGTAGAGGCTGGAAGAGTTTTAAGGTGTTTGACAGTAAAAGCCTTGAATGCCTTAAAGAGATTGTTGGGAGAATCACAGATGTCAAAGGGAATTCTGGTTAGAACTCAGAAGGACTTGAGAGCCACACAGAAAGTTTTTAATCTTAGAGAATGTATCCAGCAACATTGATAAACACAATATGACCAGATGTTGTCAGCCTTAATGCACTTCTGGTTAGGATTTAAAGGAAAATGAGGAACATGTGACTGGACAATGAAGGGTGACGCTTCTAACACACTGGCAAAGAAACGTCTAGTAAGTGATGATCCTGGATATTTAGCTGAGGGGTTGTCTTAAAGCAAGATGTTAAAATCACCAAAGAGAGTAGAGACATGGACTTAGAGAAATGAGCCATACAGAATGAAAATCAAACTCTTTTGTGTAAACTCAGAGCATGCACTCTAGAATTTTCACAAAGGCTGGACCTACACAGTATTTTGTTAAGAGGAAGTCCCTATGCTTGATAGATTTTACCAACCACCACTGTGCTGCTGTTAGACCTGCTCAATCGATCATGAGTCGCAGTGATACCGAAACCTTGCCCTATGTAGCCATGACCCCACAATCCATCCTCAAGGCTATGGCTGCAGTCACTGTGCCAATCCATCTCACTGAGGGTCTTCCTCTCACTCACTGATCTACTTTACCAAGTGTGACTTCTACATATTCCAGTATGTTCCAATTATTAAATGGATATTTACAGCTGTTTCACCTCATTTGGAGTCTTGCCATATCAATAAATGAAGGCCTTTCACTGGGTGAAAGCTTTGTTGTTGACGCTGTTATGCGCTGCTGACCCTGACTCATAGCAACCCTATGGATGGCTCTGAACCTTGCGCTATCTGGAACCAACCTTACTATCTCTGACACACCTGCCCCCAATGCCAGTCACTGGGTCAATCCAACTCATCAGGGATCTTCCTTACTCCCGCTGGCCTTCTCCCCTTTCCAAGCGTGATGTCCTTCTCCAATGACTGGTTTCTTCTGACAATATGTCCCAAGGGTGTAAGACACAGTTTCAACATCCTTGCTTTCAAGAAGCACCCTGGTTTCACTTGCTCCAGGACGACCTTTCTGTTCTCCTGGCAGTCCACGGTATGCTCGATACTCTTCTCCAGCACCACAACTCAAAAGCATCCTTTGTCATTCTTACTGTCTAGTTTTCAGATGCATACAAGCAACTGAGAAGGTCATGGCATGGATCAAGCACACCTTAGCGTTGTTCTTTAGCATCTGGACAAGTTCTTGACAGCAGATTTTTCCAATGCAACTTGTCTTTTGATTTTCTGACTGCTAAGGTGCGTCTGATACAGGCCATGGTCTTCGCAATCACCTGTTATGCATCAGAGAGTTGGACAATGACCAAGGAGGATAGAAGGAGAATTGATGCCTTTGAGTTGTGGTGCTGGAGAGGAGTATTGAGAGTACCATGGACTGCTAGGAAAACAAACAGATTTGTCCTGGAAAGGGTTAAACCGGGTGGCTCCTTGGAGGCAAGGATTCTGAGGCTCCGTCTAACATACTTTGGACATGTTGTGAGGAGAGACCGGTCCTTGGAGAGGGATATCAAGCTTGGGAGGGTGGAGAGACAGTGCAGGAGAGGAAGGCCCTCTATGAGGTGGATTGATTCAGTGACTGGGATAATTGGGATGGGAGTGTCGGAGACAGTGCGATTGGCACAGGAGAGAGCAGAGTTTAGGGCTGTTGTACATAGGGTCGCTATGAGTCGCAGGCACATAACAACAACAACACAGTGCCAAGGATGTTGATTGTGGAGTCGAGCAAGATGAAACTGTTAACAATTTCCATCTTTTCTTCATCTATCATCATGCTGCCTACTGGGCTGGTGGATTTTTGTTTTCTTGATGTTGAGATGCAATCCATATTCAAGGTTCTATTCCTTTATCTTCTGCAGCAAGCACTTCAAAGTCTTCCTCACTTCTGGGGAGCAAGTTGTGCCATCTGCATAATATAAGTTGTTGATGAGATCCTGATAGCACATTCTTCTTCATAAATGATCTATTTGGCATACAAACTTAAAAAGTGTGGCAAGCTTTTTCCACCTTAGTGCCATCTTGTTCGAGACCTCCGAATCATGAGGGCCAAGTGGAGGAAAAAGCGAATGTGCAGGCTGAAGCGTAAAAGAAGAAAGATGAGGCAGAGGTTCAAGTAGACGTGAGCGTGTGCACCTGCAGACGCCACAGCGGCAGGAGCAGAGAATGCCACAGGCAGGGGACGCTGATACCAATTGGACTGCTTGCTCCTGTCTAGAACTTCTGACTCAAGGGATCTAGAACGTCCATCGCCACTCGATCGCCATGAACACCTGAGAGGCCCACTTTCCTCCTTTGAAACCAGCCCTTTTGATCTGTTGCCCTGGACCTAGGATATTCTGGACTAACTCTGCTTAGTTGTGGTTGGATGTCACATGCACAATAAATCATCTCTTCTGCTGTCTTAGCCGAAGAATAAAAAAAAAGTGTGGCAAAAGGATACATCCCTAACACACTCCTGTACTGATTTTGAACCATGCTCTTGCTCTCTTGCTCTTGCTCTCTTGCTCTGTCCAGACAACAGCTTCTTGGTCTTGGTACAGGTATCGCACAGGCACAATCAAGTGCTCCACGATTCCCATTCTTCTCAGTATTAGGCATAATTTTTTGTGACCCACATAACCAAATGCCTTTGTATAAATTATAAAACATAAATAGATACCTTTCTGGTACTCTCTGCTTTCAGTCAAGATCCATTTGACATTATTAGTGATAACTCTAGCACAACGGCTTCTTCTAAATCCAGCTTGTATTTCTGGGAAATTCTCTCTCAATGTCAAATGTTAGTCTTTTTTTTTTTTAAAAATTAATCTTCACCAGGATTTCACTTATATGTGATAGGAATGATATTGTTTGGTAATCTCCACATTCTGCTGGAGCACATTTCTGGGGAATGAGAAGAAATATAGATCTCTTCCAGTGAACTAAATTTCTTAGCACAACGTGGTGAGCATGTCCAGGGCTGCATGTCTGTTGGAATATGTCAATGGGTATTCCATCAATTCCTGAGGTCTTATTTTTTTTTTTTTTGCTAATGCCTTCAGAAAAGCTTAAAGTTCTTCCTTTATTACCACTGGTTCTTGATCTCATGCTACTTCCTGGAATAGTTCTTTATCAGTCAATTTTTTGTTGGTGAAGTAATTCTGTATAGTCCTTCTATCTTTTTTTTATGCTTTCCAGATCATTCAAGAGTTTGCCCAAAGCATCTTTACTCCATCATTAAAGTAGACTCTACTTTGAGGAGAAAACTGTTTTCCACTCACATTCTGAGCACCTTCCAAGCTGAAGGGCTCATCTTCCAGCACTACATAAAACACCGGTCACCTGCTATTTATAAGGTGTCCAAGGGTCTGTTGTTTTGAAAGTGGATGACCAGTCCTCCTTCTTCTAGTCTGTAAGTTCTGCTGAAATCTATCATCTGTACTCCTGCTGGCATTTGAAATGCCAGTGGCAAAGTTACCCACATTACAACAAGCACCAAAGTATGGCAAACTGACAGATGAGTGGCAGACAAGCAGCTGAAAACCCAAAAGCTCTGACAGAAGGGGACAGACAAGAGGAAAGGAAGGAAAACTGTTTACTTCTTGGAAGTCAACAGTGAGGAAATTTGTTGTCCTCCCAGAAAAACATCATCCTAGGCACAGCTCAGAGGCCAAGAGAACTGCTGGGAGGCACAGAGGAAGCAAAAGCAGCAGCCATGACCTCTTGGGTTTCAAAGTGTGGACACGCAGCCTCCTAGATTTCAAAGGATGGATCAACTCCCAGGTTTTAAAGAGTCAGATCTC